ACACTTTACACCAACTTCCGGTAAATCAAACACCAACTTCTGGTAAGCTAAGACCCACTTCTGTTTACGCAAAATACATTATTTCTGCCACATAATATAACTACTGGCCGTTGTATGATACGTTAAGCTAAACCTCGTAACTGGTATTTGGGAAGATCTGTGTCAATAAATGGGACGTACGTTGTCTGACCATTTAAATACTGCCGCTTCAAAACTGAGCATAAAACTGCATGGACAAACCCCTGAGCAAATTCATTATATTGTCCTGTGAAACTCCATGTCCTGAACTGACAATTCTGAGGTATCACCAAATATATTACTGAACTGCAGCAGACTTAGTCTGTTCACATCAAAATCTAGGTGTGCTCACCTAACCACTTTACCTGTATAAAAAACCATGTGCTACCTGTCACATGATTTACCTGGCGCGTAAATGAATGAGTGGGGTGTCAATCAGGGTGCAATTTATACATACCTTTATAGCCATAGCCATGAATATAAAATTGTGAGCTCCATTTCATGAATTACAATTTAAGAATAATAAGCAAATTATAAATAAAAAATAAAAATCACATAATGAAGTTCGTCACAATGACGCAATGTTTAACCGTAAACAAAGGATAGCGATGTAAACAACTACATGTCACCTTACGGCTTTTTAAAAACAAGTAAAACCCATATAGTATGCTATATAGTATAAAGGCATTGGGGTTCATCTGCACGCTATAAATAATAGATAAATAAATAATAATAAATAAGCTTTATTTAGAGTCGGCAAAGTATACAAACAGAGTCAACATAAGCTCTAATGAGTTTTTAACCGTTTTATCTGTTAGGCGTATTATAACATTTTGTTACTGTCATAAATCTCTTTTTTACTTGAAATATCTTCATTTCCAAGTATAGGTAGGATCTTATTCCGGAGTATGTGAAATATTTTCCCACTGCAAAAATTTGATAATAGTTACGTATTTTTATACGCCCGTTTACGGGACGTATTATGGTATACCTCTGTCCGTCCGTCCGTCTGTCCGTCCGTCGTCAACATGTCGGACATTAACTCAAAAACGCTTTAACCAATTTGCATAAAACTTTGGTGAATTGTTTATATCTATTGACATGAGCTCCCTTTCCTTTTTTATAAATTTTTGATTTTACGTTTCCGAGTTATGGGGTTTTATTCATTAAAAAAAAGGGGGATTTTCTAGTTTTCGGACAATAACTCAAGAATGCTTTCACCAACTTGCAAGAAATTGTGGTGAATTGTTTATATTTATTGACATGAGCTCCCTTTTGATTTTTATATATTTTAGATTTTACGTTTCCGAGTTACAGGGTTTTATTCATAAAAAAAAGGGGGATTTTCCAGTTTTTGAACAAAAAATCAAAAATGCTTTCAGCAGTTTGTATGAAACTTTGGTGAATTGTTTATATCTATTGATGTAAGCTCGGTTTAGAATTTTATAAATTTTACATTTTACATTTCCGAGTTATGGGGTTTTATTCATTAAAAAAAAGGGGGATTTTCCAGTTTTCGGACAATAACTCAAGAATGCTTTCACCAACTTGCAAGAAATTGTGGTGAATTGTTTATATTTATTGACATGAGCTCCCTTTTGATTTTTATATATTTTAGATTTTACGTTTCCGAGTTACAGGGTTTTATTCATAAAAAAAGGGTGATTTTCCAGTTTTTGAACAAAAAATCAAAAATGCTTTCAGCAGTTTGTATGAAACTTTGGTGAATTGTTTATATCTATTGATGTAAGCTCCGTTTAGAATTTTATAAATTTTACATTTTACATTTCTGAGTTATGGGGTTTTATTCATTAAAAAGGGGGGGACTTTCCAGTTTTCGGACAATAACTCAAAAATGCTGTCAGCAATTCTCATGAAACTTTGGTGAATTGTTTATATCTATTGATGTAAGCTCCCTTTACATTTTCATAAATTTCTAATATGACATTGAGAATTAATTGAACTTTATTTGTTTATAGTCTGACAACAGATTTACTAAGTATTGCGCAACAGCACAGTGTATTGCACAACAGCAAGAAATCTTTAATTGAATATAAATTCAATTCATATAACCAATTTCAAGTTCTTTGACTACATTTATTCAGAAACCTATAATATGTCAAATATTTAATTCAATCCAAATTCAGACCTGTATCAAGCTTGAATATTGTGTCCATTTTTGCCACAACTGTTCAGGATTGGACCTCTACGGGCGTATCCAGCTGCGCTCAGCAAAGCAGTTTATTTATTTGCCAAAATTTTTTGAACATAACAATTCTGGAGTATGTGAAATATTTTAACACTGCAAAATTTGATAATAGTTGTTGTCGAGCCTGCGACTTTTGTCGCAGAAAGCTCGACATAGGGATAGTGATGCGGCGGCGTTAGCTAACTTCTTAAAAGCTTTATATTTTAGAAGGTGGAAGATCTGGATGCTTCATACTTTGTATATGGATGCCTCATGTTACGAAGTTTCCGTCAGACACATGTCCAATGTCCTTGACCTCATTTTCATGGTTCAGTGACTACTTGAAAAAAAGTTAAGATTTTTTGAAATGTTAAATTCTCTCTTATTATAAGTAAAAGGATAACTATATTTGGTATGTGCGTACCTTGCAAGGTCCTCATGCCCGTCAGACAGTTTTCACTTGACCTCGACCTCATTTCATTGATCAGTGAACAAGGTTAAGTTTTGGTGGTCAAGTCCATATCTCAGATACTATAAGCAATAGGTCTCGTATATTAGGTGTATGGAAGGACTGTAAGTTGTACATGTCCAACTGGCAGGTGTCATCTGACCTTGACCTCATTTTCATGGTTCAGTGGTTATAGTTAAGTTTTTGTGTTTTGGTCTGTTTTTCTTATACCGTATGCAATAAATAGGTCTACTATATTTGGTGTATGGAATGATTGTAAGGTGTACATGTCTAGCTGGCAGGTGTCATCTGACCTTGACCTCATTTTCATGGTTCAGTGGTTATAGTTAAGTTTTTGTGTTTTGGTCTGTTTTTCTTATACTGTATGCAATAGGTCTACTATATTTGGTATATGGAATGATTGTAAGGTGTACATCTCTAGCTGGCAGGTGTCATCTGACCTTGACCTCATTTTCATGGTTCAGTGGTCAAAGTTAAGTTTTTGAGTTTTGGTCTTTTTTTCTAATACTGTATGCAATAGCTCTACTACATTTGGTGTAGGGAATGATTGTAAGGTGTACATGTCTAGCTTGCAGGTGTCATCTGACCTTGACCTCATTTTCATGGTTCAGTGGTCAAAGTTAAGTTTTTGAGTTTTGGGTCTTTTTTTCTAATACTATATGCAATAGTTCAACTATATTTGGTGTATGGAAATATTTTATGAACTAAATGTCAGTCACGCAGGTTTTATTTGACCTTGACCTCATTGACCGCAAATATAATACAAGCCCAAACGAAAAACATATAAACAAGTCTAAATTGAAAACAACGTTCAAACCTATGATTGCGTTGGATAAAAACCACAATTTTTATACGTGTGCATGCAAATCAAATTTCTTGTTAGAGGGGTCTAAATACAGCACAAACAACATTTTCCAAAAGACCAAAAAAGTGAAAAAGTATATTTTAACAAAACGCATTTGACTAACAGGTCGAACAACAAATGTTCTTAAACCCTACTGACTGCCATTGAGGATTGCCAAATAATATATATATGTGTCACGACATCTCAGTATAATGAGTTTGAATCCCAGCGAGGGAAGAACAAAAAATTTGCGAAAGCAAATTTACAGATCTAACATTGTTGGGCTGATGTTTAGACGAGTTGTATATATATATATATATATATAAAAAGTCCAAATTGAAAACAACGTTCAAACCTATGATTGCGTTGGATAAAAACCGCAATTTTTATACGTGTGCATGCAAAACAAATTTCTTGGTAAAGGGGTCTAAATACAGCACAAACAACAATTTCCAAAAGACCAAAAAAAGTGAAAAAGTCTATTTTAACAAAACGCATTTGACTAACGGGTCGAACAACTGATGTTCTTAAACCCTGCTGACTGCCATTGGCGATTGCCAAATAAATTTATCACCAGATCTAACAAAATGGATCTTAATATTAATTAAATACCAAACAGAAAACAATAAATATATATATATATATATATATTTTTGTTGATGAAGTGAACCCCTTTCAAAACTTAGCTAATATTGTCCATTAATAAATAAATTAATTAAATTCTTGGTGTACTTGGATATGCTGAATCTTATTGTGTATTTAGATTTGGATATTGGACCATAATAGGTAAAAGTCCAGTTCAAATTTTTAGTTGTTTGACCACATTCATTCTGTGTCAAATATCTTTTCACAATCCAAATTACTGTGTAGTGTCCTAGTCCCAACTGTTCAGGGTTCGACCTATTGGGCTTATTTTGACCAAAATTCACCAAACTGACTGCTTACAGAGAAATATTATTTTGAAAATCCACTCTAAAAATATTTGAAATAATTTTTATTTTTTTGTCTTAATCCTATCTTATAACCATTTAATAACTTACACGTGTTTATTTACATGTCAGAACTATTTGTTTTATATTTTTTATTGGTTATTTAAGCCTGTTTTTCTCCATCACTGATGTTCAAGTAGAAAAGTATGTTTTATGCTTTAAACACCCTTCTATGTAACTTTCTACATCAGGAATACTTTGGGTGGTATCATTCACTCTTTGCGCAGCTGATTATTTTGCAGTTATCATTGAGATACAGTCTGGCTGTTAAAGAATTAAGTCTACATGATGCAAACATGTCTTGGAACACCTGTTGATCCCTTTGCAATGATGCTGTCATTCAATGATCTAATAAGTATATATTCCCTTTTGATATGATACTTACAGCATAATATATCATACCATAAAACTTAAAAAATTGTTGGTTTTTTTTTTAAAGAAAGGCTGTTAGTGAATTCAATCTTTCAAGTACCTGTGGTTTAATTTTTATAGTTGAAAAACCACTGGATGTGCCAGTAGAATTGACTCCAGTAAAGACTAAGCCACAAGAAATACTTCTTGGTGGAGACGACAACAAAGAAGATGCTTACATTGCATACCTCAGAGCTGATGACTCTTTCCTAAGTAAATATGAGAATGAACATGATAAATTTCTAGCTGCAGAAAGTGCAATGGATTCTCACCACCATGAACGAATAACAAAGGTAAGAACGTTATATGTAATTGTAAAGTAATAAGTTACAGTACAGAAGTTGATACTGCTTGAGTAATACTTCAGTCAGAAAGTGACTGTTACTGATGTAAGTTGAATCTATCATACACATTTTTTGTTATGCCCCTGCCGTAGTGGAGGTACTGTGATACTTGTAGTAAAACTTTTTATTTAGGGCTATCAACATAAAATCAATAGTAGTTAAGCAGGCGAGACATTTCAGCGTGTGCACTCTTGTTTTTTCTAGGAGTCATGTCCCTTTAAACTTAGAATTTTGGCCTAAATATACTACTGCAACAGTTTGTCAGCGCAACTCTTCTGAAGCCACACAACAAAATTTCATGAAACATTGTAGTTTATGAGAACATAATATGTTTATGTGTGTATCCCAAAGAAATTTTTATCAGTTGACTTTTGTAGAGTTATGAGTCTTCGAAGTTTGGAATCTGGTGAGATTTTGTTTACTCAGTGACAATGTGGGGATGGGTTAAGTTAGTGTGCTCATAAAGGTTCTTTAATTTAACAAATGGTTATGTAACCGAGGGTTAAAGTTCTGTTGTTTAACTTTTTAACCCTTGATTAAGTTTTCAGTGACTAGATTTTTTTCTCGCTTGTGACAAAAGTTGCAGAATATTTTGTTGCAGAATGCGAGACATAGGGATTACAATCTAGATTAAAAGACCTGAATGCTTCATACCTTGTATACAGATACAAAAAATGTACCTTATGTTACAAATTCTGTCTGTCATATGTCCATTGTCCTTGCCCTCAGATTCATGGTTCAGTGAGTGCTTGCATAAAATATGCAGTTTTTTTGTCAAGTGAAATACTCACTTATAATGAGCAATAGGATAATTATATTTGGTATATGGGTTCATTGCAACGTCTACAGTCTACATATCCGTCAGATTTTTTATACGACCGCAAAAAAATTTTGTGGTCGTATATTGGTATGACGTTGGCGTCGTCGTCTTCGTCGTCGTCCTTGTCCGGCATCGTCGTCCTAAGACACATTGGTTTTCGCACTCTAACTTTAGTTTTAGTGAATGGATCTTTTTGAAATTTGACCATAAGGTTAAATACCACAAAAGGAAGGTTGGGATTGATTTTGGGGGTTATGGTACCAACAGTTAAGGAATTAGGGGCCAAAAAGGGGCCAAAAATAAGCATTTTCTAGTTTCCAGACAATAACTGTGGAACGGTGTATGGATCTCTCTGAAATTATACTACAAGTTTCCATACCACAAAGGGATGGTTAGGATTTGCTTTGGGGGGTTATGGCTCAAACCGTTTAGGAATTAGGGGCAAAAAAGGGGGAAAAACAAGGTTGTCCTGGTTAATGGACAAATACTTTAGTACAAAACATAATTTAAAGCAGTGTAAGGGAGATAAATCAAATACATCATTGAAATTATCCCTTACACTGCTTTTAAATTATGTATAAAGTAATGGTTAATGAACAATAAAGATAATTTAAAACAGTGTAAGGGAGGTAATCCAAATACAACGTTTTGGTTACTTCCCTTACACTGCTTTTAAATTATGTTTAAAGAAATGCATATTTATAAAGGAAGACCAGTAAAAATATCTGCAAATGTTGCATCTTTTTTTTTTACAAAAAAATCCATATGAAAGATTTGACACTATATTTTTATACGACCGCAAAAATTAAAAATTTTTTGGTTGTATATTGGTATGACGTTGGCGTCGTCGTCGTCGTCCGAAGACACATTGGTTTTCGCACTCTAACTTTAGTTTAAGTGAATGGATCTCCATGAAATTTTACCATAAGGTTCAATACCACGAAAGGAAGGTTAGGATTGATTTTGGGGGTTATGGTACCAGCAGTTTAGGAATTAGGGGCCAAAAAGGGGCCAAAAATAAGCATTTTTGTAACTTCCAGACAATAACTTGTGTGTAAGTGTATGGATCTCTCTGACATTGTACCACAAGGTTCCATATCACAAAGGGAAGGCTGTAATTGATTTTGGGGGTAATTGCCTCAAAATTTTAGGAATTAGGGGCCAAAAAAGGGGCAAAAAACAAGCATTTTTCTAGTTTCATGACAATAACTTGTGTGTAAGTGTTTGGATATTTCTGAAATTGTACTACAAGGTTCCATATCACAAAGGGAAAGCTGGAATTGAGTTTGGGGGTAATTGCCTGAAACGTTTAGGAATTGGGGGCCAAAAAAGGGCCAAAAATAAGCATTTTTCTAGTTTCCAGACAATAACTTGTGTTCAAGTGTATGGATCTCTCTGAAATTGTACTGCAAGGTACCATACTACAAAGGGAAGGCTGGGATTGAGTTTGGGGGTGATGAATCATAAGGGGGTTCAAAAAATTTGGGGGGGATTTTTTTTTTCTTTTTATACGCCCGTTTACGGGACGTATTATGGTATACCATTGACCGTCTGTCCGTCCGTCCGTCGTCAACATGTCGGACATTAATTCAAAAACCCTTTAACCAATATGCATGAAACTTTGGTGAATTGTTTATATCTATTGACGTGAGCTCCCTTTCGTTTTTTATAAATTTCAGATTGACCATTTCCGAGTTTTGGGGTTTTATTCATTAAAAAAGGGGGGATTTTACAGTTTTCGGACAATAACTCAAAAACAATTTCACCAATTTGCATGAAACTTTTGTGAATTGTTCATATCTATTGACGTGAGCTCCCTTTCATTTTTTATAAATTTCGGATTTACAGTTTCCGAGTTTTGGGGTTTTATTCATTAAAAAAGGGGGGATTTTCCAGTTTTCAGACAATAACTCAAAAAAAATTTCACCAATTTGCATGAAACTTTTTGTGAATTGTTCATATCTATTGACATGAACTCCCTTCTGTTTTTTATAAATTTTGGATTTAACGTTTCTAAGTTTTGGGGTTTTATTCATTAAAAAAGGGGGGATTTTCCAGTTTTCAGACAATAACTCAAAAACAATTTCACCAATTTGCAAGAAACTTTGGTGAATTGTTTATTTCTATCAACATGAGCTCCCTTTTGATTTTTATAAATTTCAGACTATACGTTTCCGATTTATTGGGTTTTATTCATTACAAAAAGGGGGATTTTCCAGTTTTCAGACAATAACTCAAAAATGCTTTCAGCATTTTTTATGAAACTTTGGTAAATTGTTTATATCTAATTTTGTAAGCTCCCTTTTGATTTTTATAAATTTTCGATTTTATATTTCTGAGTTATATAAGATTTTATTTGTTTATAGTCTGACAACAGATTTACTAAGTATTGCGCAACAGCACAGTGTATTGCACAACAGCAAGAAATCTTTCATATAATTAATTTCAACTTCTTTGACTACATTTATTCAGAAACCTGTAATAAATCAAATATTTAGTTACAATCCAAATTCAGATCTGTATCAAGCTTGAATATTGTGTCCATTTTTGCCCCAACTGTTCAGGGTTGGACCTCTGCGGGCGTATCCAGCTGCGCTCAGCGAAGCAGTTTATTTTTTCTTTTTTTCCTTTTTTTTTTCTTTTAAAATTTTCCATTTTAAGTTGGTTATTTCTGATTTATATTTAAAAGCAAATAATAATGATATGGTAGGAGATACACACCAAACAGGATGTGTAAATTATTATATAATAAGTATTGTGCAATAGCAAGAAATTTTCAATTGCACAGTATTGCACAATAGCAAGAAATCTTCAATTGCACAGTATTGCACAATAGCAAGAAATCTTCAATTGCACAGTATTGCGCAATAGCAAGAAATATCCAATAGCACAATATTGCGCAATAGCAAGAAATTGTCAATTGTACAGTATTGCGCAATAGCAAGAAATATTCAATTGCACAGTATTGTGCAAAAGAAGATACTTCGTATAAATTGCTTATTTCTTGATCAATTTCAATGGGGTTTTATTCTTGAATTCTTGGGGTTCTTAAATATTCTGAATCTAACCGTGTATTAAGTTTTTGGATTTTGGGCCCCGTTTTTCAATTGGTCCACATTGAGGTCCAAAGGGTCCAAAATTTAACTTTGTTTGATTTCATCAAAAATTGAATTATTGGGGTTCTTTGATATTCCGAATCTAACCGTGTATTTAGATTCTTAATTTTTGGTTCCGTTTTCAAATTGGTCTACATTAAGGTCCAAAGGGTCCAAAATTAAACTTAGTTTGTTTTTAACAAAAATTTAATTTTTAGGGTTCTTAGATATGCTGAATCTAAACATGTATTTAGATTTTTGATTATGGGCCAAGTTTTCAAGTTGGTCCAAATCGGGGTCAAAAGGGTCCAAAATTAAACTTTGTTTGATTTCAACAAAAATTGAATATATGGGGTTCTTTGATATGCTGAATCTAACCATGTATTTAGATTTTTGATTTTTGGGCCCCGTTATCAACTTGGTCCACATTGAGGTCAAAAGGGTCCAAAATTTAACTTTGTTTGATTTCATCAAAAATTGAATTCTTGGGGTTCTTTGATATGCTGAATCTAACCATGTATTTAGATTTTGGATATTGGACCATAATAGGTGAATGTCCAATTTAAAATTTTAAGTTCTTAGACCACATTCATTCTGTGTCAGAAACCTATGCTGTGTCAAATATTTAATAACAATCCAAATTCAGAGCTGTATCAAGTTTGAATGTTGTGTCCATACTTGCCCCAACTGTTCAGGGTTCGACCTCTGCGGTCGTATCAAGCTGCGCCCTGCGGAGCATTTTATTAATTCTATTATAAAATAGATTAAGTTAGCACTATGGTAAATTTAAATGGGTAATTATGGTTGCCAACTCCATTGGAAATTTGAATTGAGATTATGACCATATCTTGAGGGAAGGAATTTTTTGGGGGAAAAAGGGGGGGGGGGGATAAAAAGAAATTGTGGGGGGTCAATTTTTTCTCATTTCAGATTTCAGAAATTAAAAAGAATTATTCTTCAAATATTATTTTTTTTCAAATTTCAAATATTGAAAAATTTCAAGAAGTAATCTTTAATTGCACAGTATGGTGCATTAGATTTGTAAAATCTTTGATCACATTTATTTATTTGTTATGCCAAATCTAACAGTGTATTTAGATTTTTAATTTTGGGTCCAGTTTTCAAATTGGTCTACATTAAGGTCCAAAGGGTCCAAAATTAAACTTTGTTTGATTTTAGCAAAAATTGAATATATGAGGTTCTTTGATATGCTGAATCTAAACATGTATTTAGATTTTTATACGACCGCAAAAAAATTTTTATGGTCGTATATTGGTATGATGTTGGCGTCGTCGTCGTCGTCTGGCGTCGTCCGGTGTCGTCTGAAGACACATTGGTTTTCGCACTCTAACTTTAGTTTAAGTGAATGGATCTCTATGAAATTTTACCACAAGGTTCAATACCACAAAAGGAAGGTTGGGATTGATTTTGGGGGTTATGGTACCAACAGTAAAGGAATTAGGGGCCAAAAAGGGGCCAAAAATAAGCATTTTTGTAACTTCCAGACATAACTTGTGTGTTAGTGTATGGATCTCTCTGACATTGTACCACAAGGTTCCATATCACAAAAGGAACGCTGGGATTGATTTTGGGGGTAATTGCCTCAAAATTTTAGGAATTAGGGGCCAAAAAAGGGGCAAAATACAAGCATTTTTCTAGTTTCATGACAATAACTTGTGTGTAAGTGTATGGATCTTTCTGAAATTGTACTACAAGGTTCCATATCACAAAGGGAAAGCTGGAATTGAGTTTGGGGGTAATTGCCGAAACGTCTAGGAATTGGGGGCCAAAAAGGGGCCAAAAATAAGCATTTTTCTAGTTTCCAGACAATAACTTGTGTTCAAGTTTATGGATCTCTCTGAAATTGTACTGCAAGGTACCATACCACAAAGGGAAGGCTGGGATTGATGATTGGGGTAATTGCCTCAATATTTTAGGAATTAGGGGCCAAAAAGGGGCAAAAAACAAGCATTTTTCTAGTTTCAGGACAATAACTTGTGTGTAAGTGTATGGATCTTTCTGAAATTGTACTACAAGGTTCCATATCTCAAAGGGAAAGCTGGGTTTGAGTTTGGGGGTAATTGCCCTAAACGTTTAGGAATTTGGGGCCAAAAAGGGGCCAAAAAACACATTTTTCTAGTTTCCAGACAATAACTTGTGTTCAAGTGTATGGATCCCTCTGAAATTGTACTGCAAGGTTCCATACCACAAAGGGAAGGCTGGGATTGAGTTTGGGGGTGATGAATCATAAGGGGGTTCAAAAAATTTGGGGGGGGGATTTTTTTTTCTTCTTTTTTTTTCTTTTTTTCCTTTTTTTTTCTTTTAAAATTTTCCATTTTAAGTTGGTTATTTCTGATTTATATTTAAAAGCAAATAATAATGATATGGTAGGAGATACAAACCAAATAGGAAGTGTAAATTATTATATAAGTATTGTGCAATAGCAAGAAATTTTCAATTGCACAGTATTGCACAATAACAAGAAATCTTCAATTGCACAGTATTGCACAATAGCAAGAAATCTTCAATTGCACAGTATTGCGCAATAGCAAGAAATGTCCAATAGCATAATATTGCGCAATAGCAAGAAATTGTCAATTGTACAGTATTGCGCAATAGCAAGAAATATTTAATTGCACAGTATTGTGCAAAAGAAGATACTTCGTATAAATTGCTTATTTCTTGACCAATTTCAATGGGGTTTTATTCTTGAATTCTTGGGGTTCTTTAATATGCTGAATCTAACTGTGTATTTAGTTTTTGGATTTTGGGCCCCGTTTTTAAATTGGTCCACATTGAGGTCCAAAGGGTCCAAAATTAAACTTTGTTTGATTTCATCAAAAATTGAATTATTGGGGTTCTTTGATATGCCGAATCTAACCGTGTATTTAGATTCTTAATTTTTGGTTCCGTTTTCAAATTGGTCTACATTAAGGTCCAAAGGGTCCATATTAAACTTAGTTTGATTTTAACAAAAATTGAATTCTTAGGGTTCTTTGATATGCTGAATCTAAACATGTATTTAGATTTTTGATTATGGGCCAAGTTTTCAAGTTGGTCCAAATCGGGGTCCAAAATTAAACTTTGTTTGATTTCAACAAAAATTGAATATATGGGGTTCTTTGATATGCTGAATCTAACCATGTATTTAGATTTTTGATTTTTGGGCCCCGTTATCAACTTTGTCCACATTGAGGTCAAAAGGGTCCAAAATTAAACTTTGTTTGATTTCATCAAAAATTGAATTCTTGGGGTTCTTTGATATGCTGAATCTAACCATGTATTTAGATTTTGGATATTGGACCATAATAGGTGAATGTCCAATATAAAATTTTTAAGTTCTTAGACCACATTCATTCTGTGTTAGAAACCTATGCTGTGTCAAATATTTAATCACAATCCAAATGCAAAGCTGTATCAAGCTTGAATGTTGTGTCCATACTTGCCCCAACTGTTCAGGGTTCGACCTCTGCGGTCGTATCAAGCTGCGCCCTGCAGAGCATTTTATTGATTTTTGGCCAGTTTTCAAGTTGGTCCAAATTGGGGTCGTAAATTAAACTTTGTTTGATTTCAACAAAAATTGAATATATGGGGTTCTTTGATATTCTGAATCTAACCATGTATTTACATTTTTTATTTGTGGACCCCGTTATCAAATTGGTTCATATTGAGGTCAAAAGGGTCCAAAATTAAACTTTGTTTGATTTCATCTAAAATTGAATTATTGGGGTTCTTTGATATTCCAAATCTAACCGTGTATTTAGATTTTTAATTTTGGGTCCTGTTTTTTAAATTGTTTTACATTAAGGTCCAGAGGGTCCAAAATTAAACTTAGTTTGATTTTATCAAAAATTGAATTCATGGGGTTCTTTGATATGCTGAATCTAAACATGTGTTTAGATTTTTTATTATGGGCCCAGTTTTCAAGTTGGTCCAAGATAAGGTCCAGTATTTAAACTTTGTTTGATTTCAACAAAAATTGAATATATGGGGTTCTTTGATATGCTGAATCTAAACATGTATTTAGATTTTTGATTATGGGCCCAGTTTTCAAGTTGGTCCAATTTGGGGTCCAAAATTAAACTTTGTTTGATTTCAACAAAAATTGAATATATGAGGTTCTTTGATATGCTGAATCTAACCATGTATTTAGATTTTTTATTTGTGGGCCCCGCTATCAAATTGGTTCATATTGAGGTCAAAAGGGTCCAAAATTAAACTTTGTTTGATTTCATCAAAAATTGAATTATTGGGGTTCTTTGATATGCCAAATCTAAGCGTGTTTTTAGATTTTTAATTTGGGTCCCGTTTTTTAAATTGGTCTTCATTGAGGTCCAAAGGGTCCAAAATTAAACTTAGTTTGATTTTAACAAAAATTGAATTCTTGGGGTTCTTTGATATGCTGAATCTAAACATGTGTTTAGATTTTTGATTATGGTGCCAGTTTTCAAGTTGGTCCAAGTTGGGGTCCAAAATTAAACTTTTTTTTGATTTCAACAAAAAATTGAATACATGGGGTTCTTTGATATGCTGAATCTAACCATGAATTTAGATTTTTTATTTGTGGGCCCCGCTATCAAATTGGTTCATATTGAGGTCAAAAGGGTCCAAAATTAAACTTTGTTTGATTTCATCAAAAATTGAATTATTGGGGTTCTTTGATATGCTGAATCTAACCATGTATTTTGATTTTAGACATTGGACCATAATAGGTAAATTAAAAAATTCAAGTTCTTAGACCACATTCTTTCTGTGTCAGAAACCTATGCTGTGTCAAATATTTAATAACAATCCAAATTCAGAGCTGTATCAAGCTTGAATGTTGTGTCCATACTTGCCCCAACTGTTCAGGGTTCGACCTCTGCGGTCGTATCAAGCTGCGCCCCAGCGAAGCATTTTATTATCTTTTGGAAGTGACATAACTTCTTCTTCCCATTTTAATTTTTTAAATAGATCCAATCTTAGTTTATTAGTCCCCTACCGACGAAGTCGAAGGGGACTTTAGGTTTGCACTCCGTCCGTCTGTCTGTCTGTCTGTCTGTCTGTCTGTCTGTCCGGCAAATCAGCTTTCCATGCTTTTTTTCTTCATGCTTGAAGGTATTGATTTGATATTTGGTATATTGTTTTATCATGACAAGTTACAGATCAAGTTCGAATTTTGTTCCGGTCTGATAATTTAGTCCAGAGTTCTGGACCATATCTAATGTTAGAGTACTATGTTAAACCATATTTCTGTACAAAGGGAGATAACTGATTTTTTAAAAGACATTCATTGTTAAATTATTTGAAGAATTTTTTAGCAGGTTTGTTTGTTATTTAGTATATACTAATTTTCTGAATGCTATATATATATTAGGAAAAATTTATGAAGAGAAATCCTTTAATTCGATAATAATCTATTTTTATTAATGTATATATTTCAATACATTACATTGTGTAGATAAATGTTGTTGACATTTTATAAGTTACAAATCTATATTAGTTTGTGACAAATGAAAGAAAAAATATTTGGAACTATTTATTATATTTGATTATAATTTGAAAAAAGATATACACTGTATTACATCATATCTAATTTTAGAGAACTATTAAACACATCTAATGTTTTTTTCACTCATATAATCAGTTTTCCTTACTGTTTTTAGTTATGCTTGAAGATATTGACATGATATTTACTTTTTGTTTACACCATGACAAGTTATAGAACAAGTTAGCATTTTGTTCCAGTAAAACAAATAATGCTTGACATGATATTTACTTTTTGTTTACACCATGACAAGTTATAGAAGAAGTTAGCATTTTGTTCCAGTAAAACGAAGAATGCTTGTTATTTATGCTACACTCCAAGAGGAAATGTTCCTCGTTTTCAAGAACATTGCATAGTTTGCAAAGTCTATCTTCTGTTGGAATTTTAAAATGTCTACCCTTTTCAATTTTAAGATTGTGGTGACTTATATGGAGTTTGGTGAAACACTTTCTTATAATATAATGGTTGTACCATAAGTAAAATTCATTATCTTGACCAAGATTTATGTTTTTGTATAAAAATAACTTACTTTTATCATCATCAAAATTTTATATTTGTCTTCTATTTCTTTCTTGATAAGAATCTTTAGGGTACAAATTTCCAAGTTCAGATCGTGCTCCGACATTTGAAGCAGACTTTTTTATTCCCAATATAAATTTACAATAGTTCAAATGAACTTTTTCAGAGGGAGTTTTAGTCTATAGAATAGAATGGATCTAAACTTTTCCCACTTTTTTCAGCCCGAATTTTAGCCCTATGATAGGTCAAATAACTATTCTTTCAAATTTTTGAAATATTCTATTTTATGTAAGATATTGCTACCAGGTACAATATTCTTGACATATGTATACCAAGAATATGTACTGTTGTTGTCAAGAGATTTTGACAACACAAAAGCCTCTTTTAGAAGGGGGTTTTATAAATATGTTTTCGTTGTAAAGTCTTGCTAGATAAATCAAAGACTGAATTGAAATGAAATGTTCTACTGGCAATTTCCAAGTTCAGATCGTGCTCCAACGTTTGAAGCAGACTTCTTTATTCCCAATATAAATTTACAATAGTTTAAATGAACTTTTTCAGTGGGAGTTTGGTCTATAGAATAGAATGGATCTAAACTTTTCCCACTTTTTTCTGCCCGAATTTTAGCCCTATGATAGGTCAAATAACTATCCATAAATGAAATTTCTGAGTTGTAAGTCAACACTGGGCATACTAATTTGTCAAAAAGATTATTTGAGACCTGTAATATAATTTAGGAAGATTGCCCATTTAATGCCCAAGGAAGAAGATTAGCT